CTTGTATTGTCATGTTTTATTGTCATGTTCTGTGGGAATGCGCGGCCTCTGAGGGATATTGCAGAAGCACCACAGTTGCTCTTGAGTTCTAGCCCTTGTCATCATCTTCGGTTCTTATTTTGCAGCACCTAAAATGTTATCCGCATAAAGAAATTGCGTTGTACTTGTATTCCAAAGCGCAATTACAGGACTTGGCAAAAAGCCAAGAGAGCTGCACGCTGCGCGGGAGGTGTTGGCATATACGTGAGGGCAGGGTAGGATACGACTTTCCCACGGCCCCGTACTCTTACCCCGTGCAGTTTTGGGCGGGGGGACCACGATACTGCGTCGGTGGGGGTCTGATAGTTCATACACGGCCTCAATGTGTTTGAGCGTACCATGTGTCTTTAAGTGAAAGGCGGGCTTTAAGGACGGAGTCTGCAAGCGCGGAGTCACGGGAGAAAAGGAGGCGTCACTGGACCTATATTGCGCTGTAGCGCCTCTCCATTACAATTTTTTGCTGGCAAAACTGGTACGAGGGCTCGCGTGGACCATAGTTCCCTTTCAGAACGCCACATTCAACTTCTAATTGAGCGAAAGCGTGCGCTGTAGGGGTTGAAGACGGCGGGGTACGCTGCCATTCACGGCTGGTCTGACAATAAGTTTTAAAAGCGTGCAATGCATGCTCCCTCTTCGTTGTTGGCAGAAGTGTTTATACGTCATTGTGGCGGCTTTGCGAACGATATACTCACAGCTCGAGTCAAAGCTAACGATTTGTAAGATTCTCAGGCACGGTGAAGCCCATATCCCTCTGTTGTTCCACAATTCTCGTGCCCTCAATGAAATGAGGAAACTGTTTATTTTAAGGCCCGAGATAAGTGACCCGTAGATTAGACCAGGTTTTCACAAAAACAATTGAGCTCTGAATTTGTAGACACTAAGAGGTTTAATAACTCGATATAACTTGACTTCATCTATCCGCAAATCTCAGATCTATCCGCTTCCCACCGCAGTTAGTAATAAGTGGAGCAAACTCAGACCTGTGAATTCCAAACAGAAATGGATAGAGGCACATCACGACTGAAGGTAGCAAGCTGGGCGGCCTGAACATGACGAAACGTGGCGAAACTACCAGTGGCTGCGCCTTGAATTTTTTTAGTTCTGTTTAAGCACTGCGCAGTTTTAAGGGCATGATAGCAGAGGTGTATTTCTGTCATGAAAGCTGCGAGAAACTGCCTGGTCAACCTAATCAAAGGCTTCAGGAAAAACTCAAGTATATGACAGCTACGCGGGATCTACATCCAAGGGAGCCGCCCAGTCATCAAGTGACTGATAGAAGGCAGCAGTGGTAGACTTCCCTTTCCGAAAACCTTTTTGCAATGGGGAAAATATTGTATATTCAAGAATATGCGTCTGAATCCTTATCTCTAAATGTCAAACATTGGAACAAGTCTCTACTATTATAGAAGGTAATGTGGAATCCGTAACGAAGAGCAGCAGTTTCAAAGTAATATGAATATTCCTATAATTTCATCAAAAGAAGTAAAAAAAGGACTTCATAGTAAAAAAGGAGGGCTATGCCAGCATTGCTGAGGCAGTAGTCAGTGAGGTGCAATAGTTGGTGGCAAGTCCAGTAAGGAGGATCTAGTCGCCCTAATGCACGCAAATCGCCATTAACTCCCCGACAACAGAAATACGAATGGAGCGGAGGAAAAGATGCAAAGAAAGGGCCTCACCCCAATAACAATGTAATACCCAGCTCAAAATACTACTAGATAATCCGTTTTCGGCTGCATTCCACGGAGAACATGCCCTGATGAAAAGAGAAATTTGGAGGTGGCTAGCACTGATACTGCGCCTTAATTAGATATCTTGAATACTTGGATGCTCTATATGAAGTTCCGACTATGGGAATAGAATCACATCTAAACTTAAAAATCACGATGAAATTGTAAAAATGACGGGCGGGGGGTTTTAGGGTCCCAGGCTGGACACACAACTCAGCAGTTTATTCTACCTTATCGATGTTCTCGACTTCCGTTCGCACATATTAAGCTATTTATAGCAACACAAACACACATAAATTTTTTTGAGCTATTAGCTTAACTACGGAAAGAAGGTAAAAAGTCACTTTTCTTCATTGACATTCGAGGCGCTATAAGTTACACTATATTGAATTCTGATCGCGCAATTTCACCACCTTATTAAAGAGCATCGTTAAATACTAATCATGACACGACAATGGTACGCCGTACAGGCTCTAGACGGGCGGCCATCGAGAGATTCTGGCACGCGCTCGATGTGGTGCCTGAGTTTATCAGCGAGATAGTCGATTTCTCCGCGCACACCGTAGACCGCCTATTGAACTCCGCCCGAACCGGGTAATTGAGGGGATTCAGGTCAGGTGACCTACTTGGATATTCCACCTTTTTTTAGGTATTCAGCCCCCTTCCATTCCAAGTAGGCGAGAGTTTCTCCAATGCCCTTCAATTCCTGTGTGGTGGCACCCAATGCTGTGGTTCCAGAGCACTCCGAAGACCGGAATAAAGTGAATTCAGGTCAGCAAGGGGTCGCCGATTAAGAAATGTGGGGTATACATATTGTGGGCGGGGCCAGCCCGAGGTGGGCGGAGCCAGACGAAAATTCTCTAAAACTGTCCCAGAGCACTTCAAAGACCGGAAAAAACGTGGATTAAGGTCAGCAGAGGGTCGCCGGTGAGGACTGTAGGGCACAAAAATTGGGGCGGAAAAAAAGTGAGTACAGAAGCAAAAGCGGTATATAAGTTGAGTCTAGGAACCTTGTGAAAGCCGGCGTCAGCCGGCTAGGCGACTGGTATATATATAGTTTTGCAAGGAATGGTGCGATAAATACAGTCGTAGTCCCTGTAATTGATAGGGCGGGGCATGGCTTGGCGTCAAGGCATTATTCCCAGTAACTGTAGCTGGCTCGGGATGCCATCATTGCTGGAACAATGCCGATCAGGCTGCGCTTCGATACGCGCCGCGTCCCTGTATTGTTTGTAGGGATTATGGTTTTGATACTGTGGACAGTCAGCAGAGACATCAATTCCCAAGCCTTGTATCTTTTGTAATTCGTTGACTCGATCTGGGTGGAACTCCAGGGCGCTTGATGAGAGTGATCAACTCTTGGAGTTACGAGGATACTTCAGGCTGAAGTAATTGCCGCCAGTCTGGGCAGTGATAGAATACTTCTCCTGCTTATAGAGGTGCGTCGGAGAAATAGTTTGAGATCTTCTCATCACCTTGCCACAGTGAGTGAAGTAAACTGAGTGGCGATCACTATGAGCAAGATGTCTTTTTCAACAGTCTTTCCTTACACTTTTGCCAAAAACATACGCCGCCCAGAAGAATGAACTTACAGCGGATGTAATGCCAAAGATCGCTTTACTCACGATTCTAAGAGGGCTGCGTGATAGGGAAAAGTCAGTACGAGCAAAAAATTTGGATTGTTGTGCCAAATATGCAGCAACGCAAGTTACGAATGCTAGAAAACGTTGACCTGCGTCAACGCTCAAATCGTTTTCAGCTTTGGCTATTCAACAGGCCAAAACACAACGCAGGCAAACAGGAGTCATGGGTTAATCCAATGGGCATGTAAACTAATCGGTTTTAGTTTTCAGAAAGCGCGCACCAAAAGTCAATGACGGGTGAATATCCTTTGTTATGAGAAATGATCCAAACATTAGGCAATTCCGTAGCAACGAATAAGGAATCCAAAACGATCATTATCAACTCATTAATATTCAGCTACAACAGAATGCACAAGGTGTTCTACTTCACTGTAAAATATCATACCTGCGTGGGACTTCGTATGGTGTCCAAGGCTATTGCGCAGGCTGTCCGCGCACAGGGGGGGAGGGAGGGGGACATATTGACTTTCGTTGCTCCACTAGTTCCGGTTTGCATACTTCATCTGATGAAACCTGTGAAGACCTGTGAAGCTAGAGCAAAAGTGGTGAACTGTCAACACACGAAAAGGCTCTCTAGATGGGTCGACACGTCGATGGGAAGTAGCAAAAGTGCAAAATGCCCCCCCCCCCCGTCGCCGAACAGCGCCATCGTAGAAATAAGAATGCCGTCTTGTGGGCACCCAGAATAGACCACTGATGGTGCGTCAGGGTGTAGAATAGAAGTGACTGTGTCACTGCAGACCTCTCAGGCCTTCAGAAGTCAACCTGCAGAAGTTTCCAGAAAACACCAAACAATGTTGTCAGGAGCCTATGCCTAATCTTGATACATACCTCCTTGATAAACATGTATATTGTTGAGTATCTCAAAGTTGTCTGCTCAAAAGTACTGATCTACATGGCGTTTCGTCTCGCCATCGAGATGCTATTTCGGCA